GAGTGTAAACTTGTTCAACCACTTTGGAAAGCAGTATGCAGGTTCCTCAAAAGACTCCACATAGAGCTCCCCTATGACCCAGCAATCCCACTTCTGGGCATTGACCCAAATGATCACAAACAAGGCCATACTAAAGCTACCAGCACAACTATGTTTATTGCAGCACTATTCACCTAGCTAAGATATGAAACCAACCCAGATACCCCTCAGTAGATGAATGGATCAAGAAAATGTGATACACACACACATACACACACACACACACACACACACACACACACACACACACACACACACACACACACACACACACACACACACACACACTGGAATTCTATGCCTCGATCAGGAAGAATGACACCGTCCCATTTGTTAGGAAATGGAAAGACTTAGAAAAAATTATATTAAGTTACCCATTCCGAAAAAAATTTAGGTCCCATGGTTTCCCTTATTTGCAATAATTAGTACACATATAGGATACTCTTTGAGCTGCAAAGCTCAAAAACCATGTACAAATGACCATATAAGATGATGTTAAGTGAAATGAACCCCAAGATAGGGACACAAGAGGTCTATCGTTATTGTTATTGCTTTAAATGTACCATGTGATTTTATTTATTTATTTTTTTTGTTGTTTCCTTTGTATGTTCTTTCCCCTATGGTATATCTCCTGTTGTCACTATACTCGATTTTGATACCATGCATCTTGTATATATGTATGTCTAATCTGGGAAGGGGAAGGGGAACAACAAAATATTGAAACAAGGACACAGAATGACCCATTGCAACAAGGATACCCACAGGACACTATATTGGAAACAAACTTTACAACTTCCAGTGGTGAGGGCGGGAAAGGTGTTAGGAATGTGGGAGGTGGGGGAGGAAAGGGATAGTAGAACAACAACAAGAAGGGAAGGGGTAAAGATGATTGACAAGTAATATACTCATTGCCTTACTCACGTAACTGTAACCCCTCTTAACAATAAAATAAAATAAGACTTCCTAACCTCTCCACTGGGACAGACTGTCTTGTATGCCTTCATGTAGCTAACCTGTGACAGTGTATCTCACTTACAGTAACTTATTTACTTAGGGACTACAGTTTTGTTGTTGTTGTTGGTTGTGTGGCTTGAACTCAAGGACTGGGTTTGGCGCTGTCCCTGAGCTCTTCAGCTCTACCATTTTGAGCCACAGCTCTATTTCTAGTTTCTGAGTAGGCTGGCTTTGAACCACGATCCTCAGATCCCAACGTTCTAAGTAGCTAGGATCACAGGCATGGGCCACTGGTACCTGGCTTGGGACAATGTTTTTACCTTAGCAAATATTAGTTCAATCAACCGAAGCAATAAAAATGATGACTCACTGTGCTTGTTTCAAGTTTGCATACTGTGACAGAGCAGGAACTTCTAAGTCGAACACTTCTAAATCGAATACTTTAGAATAGATTCAAGTCCTTTGGGTACTATTATGGTTTGGATATTAAATATTCCCCCAAAGGCTGAAGGGTTGTGAAGTAAGGAGACCATGTCTATTTCCCCTTGATAACTGGCCCTTGATTTCCCCTGATTGTTTCCCTAGATGGTTTGCCTTCATTTAACACTTTTGTTAGGTTTAATTCCTCACACTCATGTGGTTTTGGCCTATATAAGATTTGTGCTAGCTGCATTTCGGGCTGCAGGTCTTTGAGATGGGAGTCTACCAGCACTCCTCTGGCTCTCCATAAAGACTCACAATTTAGCACTGAGCTGCAGGACTGGCCGCTTTATAAACATTAAGGAGAAAGTCTGGACTATGGGTTGACCTCCTACTGTTTCCTGTACTGCGAAATGCTCATAAGTGAGGCCATCAGCCAATCTCTCCATTTCCATCTCTGTCTTCCCAAAGGGGAGTCCATGCCTGGATTCACAATGGCAGTCCATATAACCACCTTCATTCTCTCAAAAGGTGTCTTCTTTTCCCACCCCCCCCCCCCCCAAACTCTTATTACAAAATTAGTGGCGTTTAGTTTACTTACTTACAGTTAAGGGTATACATAGATATAAAAAGTATGTGTAATATACTGTAAGGTAAACTAAATAGGTAGATTTCATGGATCCGGATATGACCTCAGGGCCTGAGACCCTCCCCAGTCCAATGGGAGGCATGAATGAAGATGGCCCAGGATGAGGAGAGGGAGGTGACAGCTTCCAGGTTGTGCCAGTTACCTAGGTAACAGGTTCTGGGAGGAGACTTTTGCAGGAGGTGGGGAGGCCAGGGCAGACCTTACATATATAATATACAATACCTATATAATATATACTATACTATGTATCTTTTATCACTGTTGTAAAGAAATATATTACAAAATATTTATGTATTATATACAATATGCAATTATAATTGCATAATATTTGATTAAATAATACACATAGTGTAAAATATAACTACAATTATAAAAAACATAAGTATATATACATATTAGTCTCATTGTAGTCTGTCAATTTTACTTTAAAATTTACTTTCCCAATTAGTATCATGATCTACCCTGCCACCTTGCCCCCCTCCCCCCCCACACCCCCACCCCCGCTGCTGAAGCTCTACCACTTGAGCCCACCTCCATTTCAGCCACACTTCTGGCACTTTATTGATGAACTGGATTAAGAGCCTCTTGGATTTGTCTGCCTGGGCTGGCTTTGGATTGAGATCCTCAGATCTCAGCCTCCTGAGTAGTTAGGATTACAGGTGTGAGTACCCGCATCCAGCAGTATCATGATTTTTTTTTTCAAGTTAGCTATTGAAAGAGAGTGAAGTAATGCAGGGTTTGAAACAAAGTTAACGCAGCATTTCTCAAAGTTTAAAGATCAGTAATTCTCAAAGTTCAGAGTTCAGTAATTCCACAGCACAGGGAAAAATAGACAGGGTTGAAAACTGAGGAGAATGTCTAAAACTTGTCAGATGGAATTCAAAGGTCTTTTCTTTTGGGGGGGAGGGAATCCATCTTGAATTTTGTGGTGCTTGAACTCAGAGCTTGTCGCTGCCCCTGAATTTCATTTGGGACTTGCAATCAGATCATTCTTTTTTTAAAAAAAAAAATTATGTTTTTTTTTTTGTCCATGACTTCTTTTGTTCAAAGTTAGCGCTCTACCACCTGAGCCACAGCTCCACTTCCGGTTTCCTGCTGGTTAATTGGAGTTGAGAGTCTCTCGGGGACTTTCCTGCCCCTGCTGACTTTGAACCTCAATCCTCAGATATCAGTCTCCTGAGTGACTAGGATTATAAGTGTGAGCCACCAGCGCCTGGCTCAAAGGTCTTTTAATACTGCATTTTCCCCTTCTCCAAGACCAATGCATCCAAATACTAAGGCTTTTAATATTTGAAATAACTACCTGGGTGGGCAGGAAGAAGAGTGAAAACTGACTTCCCATCTGAGGCCAGCCAAATGTTCTGTGCTTTGATTTCTCCAACACAGCTGTGCTAAGTCCAGAGCCTCTCAAAGTCTAGACCGGGGCAGGTCATCAAAATTTACTACTTTTCAGGTCATACATTTTTTTTTCTAGAAGGCTGATGTTTTGGTGTGAAAGCAACCATAAGATAACAAACAAACGAGTATAGGTGTGTTTCAATAAATTTTTATTTACAAATACAAGCTCTAGCTTAGACTTTGACTCTTAGCTTTCAATTGTTAGCCCAGAGGCTATCTAAAAGCTATAAGGAAAAGTCATGATGCTGTAAGCAAATTAAAGTCTATGAAATGGCATGGTAAGAGATCTTGGTAGTCTCTTACAGGCTAACAAAAAAAAAAATTGCACATGATTTGTGCA